GTGGTGTCCCTCAAGGATCTATTTTGGGACCTATCCTTTTTGCACTCTTATCTCCTCCCACTTGGGGAGATTTTTAACAGACACGGAGTGTCCTATCACTTTTATGCAGATGACTGCCAAATTTATATGCCAATTTCGAGAAGCCATGCCCCCCTGACGCCCCTGCTCAACTGTCTATGTGACGTCAAGGCTTGGTTAGCCCAGAATTTTTTAGTAATGAATGAGGGAAAAACAAAAATTTTAACATTTGGACCGGCTCTTACTGACTTGGGACCACTAGGAAATTATGTGCGTTCCAGCCTTGGCGTCACTATAGACAGTGATTTTAAATTTGACAAACAAGTTAATGGCGTTTTAAAATCGTGTTTTTATCATCTTCGGCTTTTATCAAAAGTGAAGCCATTCTTATTTTTTAACTTGTTAGAACAGGTTGTGCATGCTTTTATTTCCAGTTGTCTGGACTACTGCAACACATTTTATGCTGGTGTCAATCAGAAAACCCTCTCCCGGTTGCAGTTGGTCCAGAACGCAGCAGCACGACTTTTAACAGAAAGCGCGAACACATCACCCCTGTACTCGCGTCTTTGCACTGGCTCCCTGTTCATTTTAGAATTGATTTTAAAATGTTACTGTTTGTTTTTAAATCTTTGCATGGACAGGCCCCTGATTACATCTCGGACCTCATCCAAATTTAGACTCCTGCGCGCGTCCTGAGGTCCGAGAGCCAGCTCCAGCTCGTGGTCCCTAACGCGAGACTTAAAACCCGGGGGGACAGAGCCTTCTCTGTGGTCGGCCCTAAGCTCTGGAACGCTCTTCCCCTCCATGTCCGGACGGCCCCCACAGTAGAGTGTTTTAAGTCTCGTCTTAAGACCCACTTTTACTCTTTGGCTTTTAACACTGTGTGAGTTGTGTGGTCCTCTGTGTTTTTATTTTATTTTATTTTATTTCTATTTATGGTTTTAATCTGTTTTATATATTTTTATTCTTTTATACTTGGTGAAGCTAAGGATAAGTTATTTATTTTATACTTTTTTGTGCAGCACTTTGGAAACGTAACTGTTAAATGTGCTATATAAATAAAGTGGATTGGATTGGATATATTCTGGATAGCAGCATATTAAATTCTAGTGCTACTTTAAAAACATTCCAATTACAGTTCAACCTCTATCTGTCGGGAGGCACGTTGATCCAATGTTAGGTTTTTGGGTAGTGTAAAAAATGTAATAAAATATTGTACAATATTATAAGAAAATATTGTTGTGGCAACAGGCAGCGGGCCCAGTCCGTGAAGAGATCAGCACGCGCGTAACCGAGTGTCTTCGCTCCTATGCAGCGTTGGGCGCGCGCACGCACACACGCACACACAAACACTACGGCACTTGGCATTGCGATATTGGTCGCGGTCTTTTTAGCTGACATGGCTCTTTCGTCCTGTGGCAAAATGGCAGCAACTCAAAAGATTGAACCAAAAGGAGTCTTTTTCTTCTAATAGTTAGATTTCGGCAAAATGCGCCAAAATGGCTGAGGCGGAGTCAATATTTGTTTTTTTTTCTCATCAAAAAACGTTTTTGCCATGCCTCCACACACTCTGACAACATACGCTCCTTCTCCTCCTCCTCCACACTGACCACAACAACATACTCTTCACCTCCTCCTCCACACACTCTGACCACAACCAAAACAGCGTTTTATGCCCAAAATCCACTCCACTCGCAGTGGGCGCTAAAGCTAGACATACAGTGTGTTTGCTAATGCTTTTAAAAATGTTTTTGATGTGGATATTCGGACTAAACATTGGCAATAGCAGCGCTCACACACCTGTCACACCGCTGATCCTCCTCCTCCTCTGCTCACACCTGTCTCACTGTTCCTCCTCCGCGAGTATCCATCTCTCCTACACTGCGATCATTCCCGTTACTTTCTTTGTATCTCACTCAGACACTGCTAAAGTTATCTGACAGCTCCGTAAAGTTTTTTTGGAGGACCCGCTGCGTACATAGCTGCCCGCGTGCCTGCCTGTTTACAAATCGCTTTTGGTGAAAATTTGACTTTACTTGTAAAAATGTTCTTTTGATCAAACGAAATCAAAGAGGTCCAGAGAAAGGGGTTTAGGGGTCCAAACTTGGAGTGCAGTCTGCCCTTTGGGGACCCTTGAACTAGTGTATTTATAAAAAAAAAAAAAAAAGGAAGGAAGATTGCGAGGCCCCTGTGTGGTGCGAGGCCCTGTGCGACGGCACAGGTCGCACAGCCCTTCCGACGGGCCTGCTCTGATCCAAAACAGACCTGGAGTCAAGAACTTTGAATACAAACATGTAACTATGCCCTTTTCTGTCAACAAAAAAAAAAAGAATGTAATTCTTCAGTTTGTCTCTTAGTATGTTCTATAGTGATTGCATTGTAACTAGTAGTTTGTACATTCTGTTTTGAATTGCTGTAATAGTAGTCTGGCCAATATTACATCCTACCTTAGCCTTTTTCATTTCAACATTACTGTGAAATTTCAAGAAAGACTAAATATTGATGTGGCTGTAGTATTTCTCCATAAAGCCCTGTATTGTACAGTATCTGAGTGATTGCAGTTGTCACCGCGATGGTTCAGCCAAAAAATTCTGGCAAAAGTGCTTTATATGACAAGACTAATGGTCCATCTTTGATTTATGATCTCATTATTATATTACAAGAAAGGAAAAAAAGCTATTCCTCTGTGTAATTATATCCACATTTAGAGATGACACGAGTGGTTTGATCAAAGATGGGAAGTGGAGAATCGATACAACCCGGTACTTTCCCAGTGTCCTGTGATTTTAACTAGAAACCAGGTCAAAGCTGCTGCAGTATGACTGTAAAAATGCAAATTCTAACTCTGACTTCCAAGCCGGCTGCTTTCTACCGTCACATCCAGGGTTGCACGATTTATGAGGTTCCAAGGTATAAAAAGTGGTGCAGTTGCCAGTGATAATTTCACACTAATCTGTCTTGTAATACACGGCTGCTTGATTTGACAGTTTCAATATGTCTGATCAAGATTGTGATTTGATTTTTATTAAAAATGACAAAATTAGACATATTTTTAAACATGCAAGATATTGCACATATTTACTAACAACTAACCCTGACCACAGATGAGCTCAAAATGGAGCGGTAAGAAGAAAAAAGTTATGATCCTTAAAGGTACACTGTGTAATATTTAGTGCCATCTAGCGTTGAGATCTTATATTGCAGTCTATTAAAGTACGGGGGCCTTTGAGTTGAGGAGCACTGTCAAAGACAGAGCTCCTCAAGTCATTGACGAGACTGCCAAGGAAAGAATACTTTAGTTTGATAAATGACCAGATCTCTCCAAACGTCTCAAGCACTTGACAGTCGTGTGGAGGCAACTTGTAAACAAGACCGCGTTCAGACCAGTGGGGGCGGGTCCCGACAAAATGACGTGCGGTGACATGCTTGCAATACCACCCCGGGCCGATGGGGGTGGACCCGGAATAAGAATTAGCCAATGCTGCAGGTAACATATAGTATTAGCTGACCTCTCGAAAAAGTCTTTACAGGATGGTCCAAAAGTTGGTTCTTGGCCCAAAGCTCCGTTCCACATGTGTGTCAATGCTGAGGGGAGTGAATTTCTTTGGACCAGTCTAGTTTACTTGCTCTGAATTTTTGAAGTCACTCGTTTAAATGAATTGGGCTTGTGCCGGCTGACAGATGTGGTGTGAAGAGAAGAGACGCATGGAGGAATAATGTCTGTGGGAGCTTAAAACTACAATGATCACAGAAGTAGGAGATTTACAGAGCCGCGGCAGGACATAGCCTGAATAAGTTTAGTTGAAACTTGTGACATAGTAGTTGGACTGCGCTCGGATCGGGTCAGAATATCCTGAGACTGTGTTGCAGAGACTGCCTCGTTCGTCAGTGTGAAAAAAGTTAGGTATTGTTCATGTGTGAGTCTGTTGTGTACAAACTACACATTGTGCCTCCTTTTGTGTTAACGCTGTCTTTGTGCGTGTGGTTTGTGATATTGACAGTTTGTTGCTATGACGGTGGACTTACTGCATAATTATTTTTCTGAAAGATTGTTGTTTGGATTGTTCTTTTACATATCTGTGGTCTTCCATGGTTCTTTTATATAACTGTGGTCTTTCATGGTTCCTTCTTCCAACTTGTGAAGGCACGGTGAAAGCAACAATATCAGTAGCTTATGTGAAACAAAAACGCGATTCTCGCATCCACCGTTTTTCAAGATGGCGCATATTCACTGAGAGCACTCCTCTCTCATGGACACTTGTAAGTTAAATTCTAAGCCTATGAATACATTTAAAAAAACATGGTGGAGGTAAATATTCTTAAGTTCAAAATTGTTATTACTTAGCATGTTTTTGCATCTGGAGCAGCTGTAAAAATTACACAGGGTGGCTATAACAATAATGTATTATTTCAAAATTTGGACCATATTATTCAGTCCTTTTTAAACATATGGACTGAATTAGGAAGTTTTGCTTATATTTTCTTCTGAAAAAAAAGAGTACACATTTAGAGAATATTATGAGTTTGTCTGACAACAAGACTCTCTCCTTGTAAATGCATGTTAAAAGCACTTTCATGTCATATAATGTAAATATCTATCCGATACTTGCACTATTGTCTTCAAAATATACTAAAGTTTACTTGAATTTGGAATAATTTATGGTTTGCTCATCTTTTTTTGTTTGCAAAAAACCTATCAATGCAGTCTTATAGTTCTATTCCAAAAGTTGCAATGGATGGATATGTTTATATACAATACATCATACAAGAGCCTTAAGATGTAATTATCTCTTTGACATTGACGCTTAGGAGCCCCTTTATACAAATCATTACAAATTATTGCAGTCTACCAGACCGCAAATCTACGCGATTAATTGTCAAGTCCTTCTGGATGCTCTTTTACGGGAAGCCAGTGCTAATAAGCCTTCAGAATATAACATTTACAACAACATATACCTTAACACAATACTATGTTTTTGCAGGTGGGCTACGAGAATGCAGGCACGGTGGAGTTTTTGGTGGACAAACACGACAATCACTACTTCATCGAGGTGAACTCCCGGCTGCAGGTGGAGCACACAGTCACTGAAGAAATCACAGAGTAAGTTTTTGTGAATGTGATTTTTCACTTAATCTGCTGTCAAAAGGGTGATTATTTTTGAGAAAAGTTCAATATTGGACATCTGCGAAAAGTGCACTTTACATTTTCCTGTTGTGTTAAAGTTCAAGCCACGTCTTCACCTGTTAAAAACAATTCTTTTAGTAAGGCAAAGGTCATGCCATTGACAATTTGCAATCCAGTGTGATTCTACTGTTGCTGTTCACCTCTGAATCCAGTTTGTCCTGGCAGTTTCTCCTAATTTTTGACTTTGCAGACACACATGCATGAAAGTAAAGGCTTCTTGGTACTTATGCAATGTAAGTCTTTTGGTCATTCACTTCTCTGGACAAGTTTCCTCTATATGGGTAAACACAACAATATCTCAGCAGCATTTTTGCATTTACTTTAGTTATGTTCGTTGATTTGAAATATCTTAATACCATAGTGCCTTATCCGGCAGCAGAGGTGGTGTAGCGACTGGGTTGAGCAGGACAGGTCACAGCCGCAGAGGTGGCAGGACAGGCCATAGGAGCAGTTTGATGAATTTGGGTTTTATTTATGTGCTTTATTTAAGACATGTTTTCACAATCAAAACCATTATTTACAGGGCTGTTATAAAAAAGGTTTTTCATCGAACATTTATGGAATACGAAAACAAGATACTGTTTGTTTCTGTAGTGGCTTGTTTATTTTTCTGTTTGCAGCAGGTTGTTGTAGCGTTTGCAGTGGCCACAGCAAAGTCCGCATTTGTTACCTGGGAGATCTATCCTCTCCAGCGCTTTATCTCTCCAACTCTGCTCTTACATAACATCCAGACTATACAGTGGGAGCTTTGTGGATTTTTTTTTCCTTTTTCAAATAATCACATGCTTCAGGCACAACATTAAAAGTATCAGACTTTGTTGGTGTCAAAATATTACTATAATATAATTTCACTTTTTTCTTCAAATGAATTTATAGTCCATTGATCAATTATCATCTCCGTGATTAGTAATCATCAGATTCAGCTCTATCGATCTTTTCCATCGACTACCACTGACGTCTGTTGTATCCTTTGGCAAGACACTTAACCCAACTGTGCCTGAAGCCCCCACTGAAACATCAAGCCTGTGTCGTCTGCAAAGGAGGAGCCATCATCCTTTACACTAAAATATCAATTAATTCTAATCATGTGTCAACTATTGCTTCAGTTTTTGAGAATGCAAATCCCCGAAAATCAGGAGTTAAATTCATTTACTTATTACATCTTCACGATGTATTTTAAGCAGTTTTAGACCTTCTACTGCTTCTGCAATATGAAGGAAAACACTGCAGATAAAAAGTCTGTTTGAGAGGCAAGGGAAAGTAACAGAATGAAAAATGCCGCTTACACGGGGAGATAAGGTTGAGTGGTAACAGTGCCGACTATGGAGCAGACAAGAGCAGGTGGGATCACTGAAGAGAGGCACTGAATGATGAGGTCATGAGTGCTGCGCAGTGAAGGAGGGGAGACTGAAGCCAAGGACAACACAAGATGAAAGTAGCAAAGGGGGCTTTGCACGACTCGCTGCCTTCCTCAACCAAACTGAAAATAGGGCTATCAATATTCATAACACTAGTGAACATTTACATAGTGCTTCACTACGATAAAAAATCATCAATGGTCAACATTAAAAACTAAAAAAACTAAAAAAAATGAGATTTTAATAATCATGTTTTTCATGTTTCCAAATACCTCCTCTGTCCATTAGAAGTTGCTAGAACATAACTGTTTTATACATTTGTCAAGTTTCCTGTTGTGGCCCTGTTTATTTTATGTAGCGGACGTGATGATTTGACAAAATGAGCTTTGCGGAAGTTTGTTACACATTTTCAGATGTCCACATTTGATTAGGAGATTTGTATTTATTTATTTTTTACAGTAGAAACAAATACTTTCACTTGAATGTGAAACCACACCAAATTTGTTTTTTTTCTCAAGTTTGATTTTTAGAGAAACATTTACGGATATCATCACGTCCGTTAAAAATTTTTCAAGGGTCATTTAATATATATATATTTTTCTATTTATTTTATATATTTTTTTTTTGTATTTACTTTTTAACCCTCTATGCCCATGGGTCATTTTGGGGAACTTTCCTCGCCTGGTTTTCTTTGTGTATAATGGTTCATAAAACAGTCATCTTTTGATGCAGAGTCAAGCAGTATACTTTGTTTTTTTCAGTACAACCTGGGGTTTTAGAATATTCATATTGTAAAGCTGTCATATGAATTATATAAAAATTATGGAATCATAAAGACAAAGAAAAAAATCAAACGGAAAATCAATTTAACAAAAATGTATTGAAAAAACACAATGAAATGCTATAAACAACTTTTTACACTGCATAGAAATGTTATTTATGGTCTTGGGGATAATGGGGGAAAAAATTGAATCTCTAACTATTATACTTTTTACAAAATTCCACTATAAAAGCAAAAAACTCTGTACTCCTGATGCCCTTCTTGAAGCAGTTTGTCTATAATGCTGGGGTTGCTTCTGTAGTACAGCTGTGGCTGAGCACGGTGGCTGAGTGGATAGCACTCTCGCCTCTCAGCAAGAAGGTCCTGGGTTCGAATCCCGGTTGGACCAGGGCCTTTCTGAGTGGAGTTTGCATGTTCTCCCCGTGTCTGCGTAGGTTTCCTCCGGGTGCTCCGGTTTCCCCTACCACTAAAAATATGTACAATAGGTCTGGCATGTGCCTCCTGTACTGGCACCCCCACTCCCAAAAATCACAATTGTAAACCGCTTTGAGACTCCAATGTGCAGTGAAAAGGCGGTATATAAATAACTAATACTAATACTACTACTGTAAAAAACGTAAAACATAAAAAACTGAGCCAAAAAAAAAAAAAACATCAATTATTTATTTAATACATATATTTATATACATCATATACACATAATGTCATTTTACTGTATTTATTATCGTCTTTATCAATAATGCGCACTCTTCAGCCGGTTTTTGCAATCGCAGCTGTAGTTTCAACTGTGGGAGAACAAGGAAACGCAGAGGAGTGAGAGATCTCACTCTCTGACGATCTTTGGCAGTCCCCGTGTGTTTGTATCTCACAGCTGTTTGTACCTCACGGGTCATGCTTTGGACACGGACTTTCAGACAAACGTAGTTTATCCTCCGTGCATTGCACAGACAAATCAAAACTAGTTTCGGAAAGCCCTGATTACGTACTTCACAGAGGAAAAAAAGTAAGTTGCTACGTTTTACCGTTCGCGAGTAAATTGATCATTTGTAAAACATGTGCGCGTGCATCGGCACCGATGCACGCGGGCATATAGGGTTAAATCAAGTGATGTACTTACGTTGTGTCAGCCATGTTAATCTTGAGGGATTTCATCTGCCGCTTTTTCAGACTAAGGACGTTTCCTTTTCTATGTAACTGGCGTCACAGTAGAATGATCAAATCAGAGGCTGATTTGGTCGTTTAAAATGTTGCCAAAATGTATTTATTAATAATTTCTTTTGATTTTATCCACATTATCTCTTTGATCTGTCTGTGTTAGAAATCTTTTTTTTTTTTTCAATCCATGATATTAATTTTTGAGTTCTAAAGTCCAGATGCTTTAAGTGACACCTAACTGTGAACACACTCATAACTGAAAGATTACCGCTAGTTTCGCCTCCAAATAGAGTCCGAGGCATCCCGCTCCCGCTGGTCTCTCCAGCGAGGGTACGATGTAAGCTAAGTATATTCACCTGGGTTTGATTTCTTATTTGATCATTATTTCGCTGGTGTTCCCTCTTCTCGTCCTCACTTTTGCATCGTTTGGGCTGTTTTGCTGTGTTTGCAGTTACAGCCAGAGCAGGTATAGCTTAACTTTAAGTTGCCATGCTGCTGTGTTTACCTACGCTGCAGGCGCTAGAGGAGACGTGCCCTGTTTGTAAGAGCGCTGCCCCTCGTTCTGTGAGTGGAGGAGAACGAGCGTCACGCAAAATTTCTACTCGGCACTTTTTATGGCCTTAACTCATACACAGCTGAAGCAATGAGCTCAAGTGTTCAATAAGATCAGGAATTTAATACAACTTATATGTAGTAATATGCATTTTTATGAACTTAGAAAATAAATCGGGTATAGTTCCTTTAACCACAATATTTTACGGCTGAAATTGTGACACAAATTGGTACTGAGCTAGATAAGACTCAATGCACTTTCCTATTCTTCATAAAGTCTGTGGTTTTGCTCCCCATTTCCCAGATCAACACGGAACACAATTTTCACATTTACAGTTAACTGTTTGAGATTCAGCCACAGTGTTTGTGCAGTTTACCAAATAAACAAATGGCCAGCACTTAAATCATTTTGTGGCAGGGGTGGCTAATCTCCCAGTAATTGCATCTGTTCCTATAGCAACCAGATCCCACATTGATTGACAAGTGCATTAGCTGATACTCGGGGCTTTCTACATTTGTGACTTTCATCCCTGTGTGAGCGACTGTTGCACAAAGGAGGGCTTTGATTAGCTGCCTGTATTTGCATAGAGACCACTACAAAGAATCTGAGCTACCCCCAAGTCTCAACAAGAAGATTCAGTTTTCTCACTATGTTAATTAATACTTGTCAAGAAAAGTGTCTCTAAGTGTTCTGTTAGTGTATCACGTCATTGAGGATTAGAGGCGTCTCTTATTTGCACTCTTATGCAAATTAGTTTTTTTGAAGACAAAATGTATGTGTAAATATTACTACTACTAACTGCCACAAGACGTTTACAATTAACTTTTATACAGCAGTATACTGTACAATATGTTTACATTTACAGCTGATATTTTTACTTTTTAATTTTTTTAAATTTGGCTAAGAATGTCTGGTTCTGCAAACGCACATGACATAATTTACACCTTTGCCTTTGGATAGCAGGATGTAAAAGGATGATGCAGCTGAAGGATTATATCTTCACTCTTTGTAATGTACGTCATTATTTATAATTTGTATGTATTAATTTGATGTGTTATCAACTGGGATTATAA